CTTGATGGTGTCTCACAAATGGGTCTCTGAGACTCCATTCATTTTTTATTCTTCTTTCTTTCTTTTTTCTCAGACTCAATAATGTCAATTGACTTTCAAGTTCCTGATTCTTTTTTCTTCCTGCTCATATCTGCTATTGGACCCTCTAGTAAATTTTTCATCTTAGTTGCAATACTTTCCAACCCCAGAATTTCTATTTTTATCCTTTTTATAATTTCTATCTATCTATTGTTGTTCTATAATGTGACATTGTCCTCACACTTCCCTTTAGTTATTTAGTCTATAGAACTAAATGATTTTCTTTATCTCTTGAACATATTTTAAATAGCTGAATTAAATCTTCATTTAGTAAGTCTAACATCTGGGCTTCCAAAGAAATGGTTACTGATTGCTTTTTTCCCCCCTGTGTATGGGCCATACTTTGCTTCCATGCATTTCTCATGAAATTTTGTTGAAAACTGGATATTTTAAATAATATAATGTAGCAATTCTGGAAATCAGATCCCCACCCCCAGGGATTGGTGTTATTGCTGTTTATTTAGTGACTTTTCTGAACTAATTTTGTAAAGTCTGTGTTCTTTGTCTTGAGTGGCCACTGAAGTCTTTACTTGGTTATCTCAGTGGTCAGCTAATGATTGAACAGAGGTTTCATTAAATGCCTGGAACCAATAAGTCTCTGAGTTTTTGCTAAGGGGCTACATGTGCGTAGTAGGGCATGCCTTCAGCACTCAGCCAGCAGTTTACAGCTCTGCCTTAACTCTCACTTCCTGCTGTGCAGAACCTCAAGATCAGCCAGGGTTGAGAGTTTAGGGCCTTCTCAGGTCTTTTCTGACCATGCTCACACCCCTACATATGTATGGCCTTCCACATTCCAAGAATATATCTCATGATGTTCCAGTTTCCCAAGGACATGTTGGAGTATTTCAAAGTTCCTAAGGACATCTTATTCCTCAGTTTTTCCTATTAAGCTTTCAATTAGGCCATTTTTCATTATTCATTGCCTCATGTAGCTGTCATTTTAGAACAATTGCCTGTAATTGTTTTCTAAAAACATCCTCTGGTGAGAAACTTTTAGCACTGGGTAGCTCTCAGTCACATCGAATAAGCAAACTTTTCAAGTGAGACCTTCTAGGGAACCACCAGACAGGTCAAATAATGACAATTGATCGGGAATGAGGTTTTGAAGGAGCACCAGCTCCATTCTGTTCCCTCTGGCAGTGGGGATATGGGCTAATTTTCAGGTTACCAATGATCTGGACAGTGAGGGATGGTCTAGGGCAAGTTAAAATGATACAAATCTCACTGTTGTTACAGAAATTCAGCTATTTTTTCTGGAATATTTATATGATTCTTGGCTGCTACAAGCCTTGGTTAAATTTCCAGAGTTCTGAAAAAGTTGATTCTGATCATTTATACCATTTTTGTTCTTCTTTCCTTTATGGAGGGATGATGTTTCAGATGTCCTTACTCCACCATTTTCACTGATGTCACCTACAGCATGGTTTGAAATCTCTTGTCTCAATGACCATGAATTAATTAAATATTTAATCATGGAAAATGATTAGGGGAAAGGAGTAAAAAGAGAAACTGTAATTCTCACAGTGGCTTTCCCAGATAAGTACATGAAGTTTCAAAAGTTTTCCTATATTTAGTCTTCTCAAAATTAAGGTTAAGGGCTGGTCCATGGCTCACTTGGGAGAGTGTGGTGCAGATAACACCAAGGCCACAGGTTCGGATCCTATATAGGGATGGCTGGTTGTCTCACTGGCTGAGTGTGGTGCTGACAACACCAGGCCAAGTGTTGAAATCCCCTTACCGGTCATTTAAAAAAAAATTAAGGTTAAAGTTACAGCTATTTTAAACCCCTTTTCTTTATACAGGTTAAACACAGGCTTTGGAGTCCGAACTGAGTTGAAATTCCAGCTTTGATTCTTATTAGCTTGGCCAGCTAGGACATGTCATATAACCTCTTTGTGACTCAGTTGCCTCATTCATAAAATGGGATAATAATATCTACCATATAAAGTTATTCTGAGGATTAAATGTGAAATGCTGATCATAGATGCCTGGCAGCTGAATAGATATTAGCTGTAATAATTATTATTTTTACAATGTTCTGCAAAAGTACACTAATGATTCTTGAGTAGAGTTAACCCAAAGGAAGATTTCTTTTCTTTTTCCCTGTTTCTTTTCTTTTTTTGTTGTTTTTCTTTGTTTTTTTTTTCCATAAAGTATTGAAAAGAAAATGTATTCCAGCATTTTGGAATACAAATTTGGGACAAAAACAAATTTATTCATTTTATTGATTTATAAAAAAATGTTATTTATTTCATCAACAAATATTTATTAAATACCTAGTAAATTTCAGGCACTCTGCCAGGCACAGGGATGGCAATGACAGTAAGATATGTCCCCTGCCCTCAAGCAGCTGACATTCCAGGAGACTGACATGCAATGTAACAAAGGCTGTGATGTGATACAGGAACACAAGGGTTGGTGTGTGTGTGATGGGAGTATGGTTTTGACCAGTTCCTTCCCTTAGATATAAACCTTTTTCTTTGGCTCCAAAGCCAAGGAATTGGTCCCATTTTTTTCTCCTGGCTTTTTTCAGCACCACACTCTCCAAATTTTTCTCGTGGCTTTTATGTTTTCTTTTGTTTTGTTTTGCAGCTGGCTGGTAGGTACATCCAAACCCTTGACCTTGATGTTACAAGGTGGTGCTCCAACTAACTGAGTAACCAGCCAGCCTGGCCCAATTTTTTTCTTGACTGAATGGTTTAAACATGACTTTTTTTTTGAAATTTCTAAAGGTGAAAGGCAAGTACCTTGAATTATGGAGGACACTATACTGTTTCCTGAAGAGTAAGGTCTTTCTACTGGTGAAGTCACTTCTAGGATTTTTGACCTGGAGAGTGTTTTGACATACTTTTTCTTTTCTATCCATTTTTTTCTTTTCTTTTTCTCTTCTCTACTTTATCTTTTAGTTTCCAAAGGAAGATGACTTTACAGATTCTAAGTGTGATATATGTAAAGACAGAAAATGATGATTTTTCTTTTATGAAAAGTTCCATGCTACAAAAATGAATATAAACTTTTCATGCAGTTTCATGAATATTGAAAATGCAAATAATTTTAATTTCATTGCGTTTTTCAGAACTCTCAATCATAATCGTCTGATTACTGTTGACCCTTCACATCTTTTTAAATTGCCAGCATTAAAATATCTGTAAGTATCACAATAATGTCATGAATCACAAGATGACTTCTGCTCTTCTTTTTTCCTTTCATCGAAGATTAAATATTTCCACTGGGGCTAAAAAGTCATAATTTTAATTTTAACTGGATTATTGGGGGAAAAAGTTATTGGCAAAGGAAAGGACTAAGAAAGGATGTATAACGTGCAAGACAGCCAGCAGTGGAAGAGAGCAGAGTTGAAGAAAACATAAAGACCTGGAACATGTAGACGCATGTAGGAATATCATTTATCCCAGAAAGCAAAGAGGAAGAGCTGTACATTATTTAAAAAAGAAAAAAAAGTGTAATCAAGACAGGTGAATGCAATTCAATATGAGAAGTAAGGTAATGGTTAAAAAAAAAAAAAAAAAGTTTGGGCGGCCCGGTGGCGCACTGCTACAGTGTGCTGCTTGGGAGCGTGGCGGCGCACCCGCCGAGGGTTCCGATCCCACATACAGACCGGCCGTTCACTGGCTGAGCGAGGTGAGGGTGCAACAGCGAGGGTTGCGATCCCGTTGCCGGTCCCGGTCCGGTACGTGCGCGACACTGAGGGTTGCAATCCGTTGCCGGACACGAAAAAAGACAAAAAGGAAAAAAAAAAAAAAAGGTAGAGTTTCTCTATTCAATCCCAAGGCCATTAGTTTAATGATGCAGATAAACTTAAGTTTATTCAATAAGATCTCTCTAGAATTATCATCTATGGTCAATAAACTCTTAAGGTTGTTTATAGAGAAGCCAAATTTGAAGTATTCATATGTCCTTGAAATGTGTTTTTAAGTACAGAACTTTTGTATTGGGTTCCTATCATGAATGTTTGGGTTTTCTCCTCCAGAGACATGGGAGCAACACAAGTGTCACTTACAACAATTGAGAACACTATCCTGATGACTCTTGAAATGGAAAAACTGTAAGTTATTTTTTTCTTAGATTTATTTTCACTTAGTTTTTAGGTTGTTTTATTGTTTTCTTAAACAGATTTATTGAGGCATAATTTTCACGTAATAAAATTCACTCTTTTTAAGAGTACACTTTGATGAGTTTTGACAAATGGATGTCATGTAACCACCACCACATTCCCAATATGGAACATTTCTCTCCCCTCAAAAAGTCCCCTCATGTCTCTCTGCAGTCAATCCTCTCCTCCCACTACCAGCCCCTGGCAACCACACCAGTCTGATTTCTGTCCCTATAGGTTTGCTTTTTCCAGAATGTCTTGTAAATGAAACCATGTAGTTTCTGGCCTTTTGCTTCTTTCACTTCATAATCCTTTTAAGATTATGTTATCATCCATGCTGTTGCGTCTATCTGTAGTTCATTCCTTTTTATTGTTGGGCAGCATTCCAGTGGTGTGGATATACCAGTTTGTGTATCCATTCATCAGTTTATGCACATTTGGGTTGTTTCCAATTTTTTGGCAGTTATGAATAAAGCTGCTAAAAATACTCACATGCAGGTCTCTGTGTGAACGTATATTTTCAGTTCTTCGGGGTGAATGCCTAGGGGTGGGATTGCTGCATCCCATGCTAAGTGCATATTTAACTTCTTAAGAAATGGCTGAACTGTTTCCTACAGTGGCTGTACCATTTTGCATTCCCTCCAGCGGTGTATGAGAGTTGCAGTTGCTCCACATCTTCACCTGATCCTTCTATTCCAGGGTTTTAAAAAATGTTAGCCTTTCTACTAGTAGGTGTGTAGTCGTTGTGGTTTTAATTTGCATTTCTTTAACAGCTGATGATATTGTCTATTCATGTGCAAATATCTTTACTGAAGTGTCTGTTCACATCTGTTCCCATATTTTGATTGGATATTTATCTTCTTACTGGGTGTTAAGAGTGCTTTACTATATACTCTGGATACAAGTCCTTTTTCTCAGGTATGTGTTTAATAAACACCTTCTCTCAGGTTTTGGCTTATCATTCTATTTAAAGTATCTTCGAAGAGCCAAAATTTTTAATGTTTTCATTTTGATGAACTCTAATTTAGCAATTTTTTCTTGAATGGTTTGTGCTTTTTGTGTCTGACCTAAGAAATCTTTGTTTAAGAACCCATTGTCTAATCCAAACTCACAAAGATCTCCTATGTTTTCTTCTAGAAATTGTGTAGTTACATTTAGGTCTATGATCCATTTTGAGTTAATTTTTATGTATGGTGAGAAGTATGTCATTTTTTGCAGTCTTATTTCCGTAGGGCCCTATTGTGACAGTTTGTTACACAACTCATCGCAGCTTACATTTTGCCATCCTCCCTCCAGTATGGCAAGCTAAATAGAAACATGCTGTTGTGCTAAGGCTAATTGAGGGGATTACACAAGATCAGTATGGAAAAAAGCCCTTCATTTGCAATCTGCTGCAGTCATATTTGTCAGGTCACCTCCTTGACTATCTTCACNAAAGATGACCAGTAAGGGGATCCCAACCTTTCTTTTCTTTCTTTTCCTTTTTTTTTTTTTTTTTTTTTTGGTGGCTGGCCGATATGGGAATCCAAACCCATGAATGTTGATAAGGCTGTGCTCTAAACAGCTGAGCTAACCATCCAGCCCCTCATGTTATCTTTTACTTCTATTTTTCCACAAACTTTTAGAAGTATCCTCATATTGAATCTTCTGATCCATGAACACATTATCTCTCTCCATTTATTTAGGTCTTCCTGAATTTCTCTCAGCAATGGTTTATATTTTTCAGTGTGCAAATCTTCCCTTTTTTGTCAGATTTATGTCTAAGTATTTTAT